ACCAGGTTAGCCGCACAGCATGAGTTACCATGGAGGTCTAGCCTGCTAAAAAGAGAACCAGCTTCGTAGGACCGGAAACCCCGAGTTTTCCCTGAAGTTAGCCGGCTAAGCGAAAATCCTGCTTCGTAGTATAGCCCACAGGAGGCGGAGTCGCAGTCTTACACGCTTCTCTGCGCTCTCATCCATAGGAATCCCGAACCCAATAAAATACCCAATATTAACGGTGTGTGTCTGCCCAAGGACAATTTAAGGTAAAACCTAATAGAGGTGTCATACATAATAACCTAATAAAAGTAAATGTAACAACTACTACAGTGCAACAAAACAGGAAGATTAAATGTGGTCTCTTAAACATAANCCAAGAAAGTAGTACAGTTTAGCGAGAGCGCGTATGTTTTGGATTAGGCCTACTACGAAGCTGGTTCAACCTAACCTGGATATGTTTGAGTTAGCCGGTTGGCCTAATCCAAAACATACGCGCTCTCGCTAAACTGTACTACTTTCTTGGGACCCCCTTGAAAACGAGGTGATTCACCTCAAGGGGTTTATCCTAATAAAGAAATTTGAATATATACTACGACGCGGGTTATCAAGTGGATCGCTCAAGCCAGCCGTTCCGTATCTAGTTAGGTGCGTGTTCACATAAAAGGGGTGGTATCTGGAGCATTCGACCAATAACAAACATGGAGAAGCGTACTGACAGCGCAGCGTCATACTTCCTGAAAGAAAAGTCAACTATAATATTAGTCAAATATGAAGAAGTTAAACTTTAAACATCCATGACTTAAACACTTTATCCAGGATAAAAGGTGAATACAGCTGGTAAAAGAAAAAGTGTTTGAATTCGTACATTAACAGGTCTATGATATCACTGCCCCGTCTAAGACACGAGTGGATCTGACTTTAATTACATTTGTCACTCAAGTCAAATGTAATTAAAGTCAGATCGTGTCTTAGACGGGGCAGTGATATCATAAACCTGTTAATGTACGCATTCAAACACTTGTTGTTTTACCAGCTGTAACTATGTGGCTTTTATCCTGGATAAAGTGTCATGGATGTTTAAAATTTAACTTCTTTATATGTCTAATATTAAAGTTCACTTTTCATTCAGGAAGTATGATGCTGCGCTGTCAGTACGCTTATCCATGTTTTTGATTGGTCGAATGCTCCAAATACCACCCCTTTCATGTGAACCTAACTAGATAGGGCACGGCTGGCTTGAGCGATCCACTTGATAACCCGCGTCATAGTACAGTTTAGCGAGAGCGCGTATGTTTTGGATTAGGCCAACCGGCTAACTCAAACATATCCAGGTTAGGTTGAACCAGCTTCGTAGTACAGGCCTCTGGTGTGGTTAAGGAAACATAAAAACATATGAGATGGGAGTTAGACTGCGTTAGTGTTTTGCGTTTTAATGCATGTGACAGCTGAACAATATGGGAGAAGTATAAAGCATATATTTCTATGACCAGCCGGCACATAATTGTTTTTTTGTGCTTCTGATATGAAACACAGTTGACACTGCAAATAGTAATGACCTCTCATGAGGATGACAGCAGCATTATCAGGGGAGGTTATTATTCTGAGCTTTGTCTCACAGCCTGTCCCTCATCTACTGGTTTCAACCAAACCCTGTGGATATGAGATGTAAACAGGCTGAAACATATATAGAAAATCTGAAATATAAAATAATTATACAATATAAAAAATGTGAGGGCAAATATTACTAACAAATATATTGGAAGAAAATCAATCTTACGCAGGTAGCTTGCTTTCTGATTGTAATGTGGATTAACACTCATCACTGGGTTACAGAGCACTTGATGAGTTATTGTGCAGTTGTAGGTATAATGAGTATATAGTATTTGTACACAGTACATGGTAGCTCTGCTTACATTCAAAGTCTTTCTCGGTGTAGTTCCGGCCCATCCTGTCTCCGCTGGTGGAAGCAGAGTCACTGAGGATGTCTGCAAAGCGCTCCACAGACAGAGCTTTCTCCCAGTTTTCCTTCTCCTCTTCCTCCAGTTCCTCCACTGATCCTTCATCATCTTCCACCTCCACCTTCACCTGGAGGATGGAGACAAAGAGAAAATACAGCTATAAAAGGAAGACAAGAATACAGGAAGAATTATAAGAGTAAGAGGTGAAGTCTATTAAAGGGGCCCTAACATGCTTTATGTGTTTTTTCCCTTTCCTGTAGTGTGTTATATAGGTTTCTGTGCATGTCAATGGTCTGCAAAGGCTACAATCTCTGTGTGCCATCCAGAGGGAGTTTCTCTCCCACACACTCCCCCCGACTGAAATGGCTCCATTTAACTTGTTTGTTTACATCTGTAAAATAGTGACAACACTGTATAACATTTTGACTTATATTTGGTAGCGCTCCAACACCTTGGCTAAGGGGGGGATATCTCTAAGTGGTTGACCAATCACAACAGAGATGGCCAGCTAACCAATCAGAGCAGACTGGGCTCTGGTTTCAGACAGAGGGTGAAAAGAGGTGCTGCAGCACAGGCAGTATGAGAAAAATAAAGAGCTTTTTGAACATTAAAGCATGGAGACATGTCACGGTAGAGGCACAAAATACTAATAAGAACATGAGCGTAATATGTCGCCTTTAAAAGGTGAATTATTTAAAGAGAAGGCTTTGAAGGTACAGTGGTACTAATCAAGGTGAATATAAAACAAACAAATGAGGGGAGTTCCATCACTTATTCTACAATATGTTTGTATTACCTGAAATACACTGCATGCAAGTTTTTTGTGGATTTGGGATGGCAGAAAACACTAAACGGGTGCCCGTATTGTGCCACAACCCAACACAGATGGCCACGATCCTGTTTTTTGCTTTTGTTTCTCATAGAAAAACTTCAAAACTGTGTTGTGCAGTTTCAGCACAACAGGCACATATTGTTTGTACATCTTTCACTTCATGTATAGAGGACAATAAATCAATACAACAAAGTGCTAAGCAGCAAATAGGTAATGCACTTGACAGGCCCTAGAGACTATTAGGCCTGTGACAAACAGCCAAAAAGGGCTTTAGTTTTCGAGATACCGCTCCTGGAGTTAGGACAAAACACAACTTACTTTTTCCTCATCTCTAAGGCCTCCCATACATGAAATGGATTGTTGTATAAAAATATTTTACTGCAAAAGTGGTGAAATTGATATATAAAGTTAGACACCCCAAACTAAAAATAAAGCCTGGCCGTCTGGGGGTTGAGGCATATAAACTCATGTAGATTCACAATGGAAGGTCTGATAGGTTTAAAACTTGGCATACCTGAGGTCAGGACATCCCTCTGCATTATAGAAAAGACTGAATGTCAATATCTTAATGTAAATTGGAGATACAGTCATTTGAACACATACCTACAATAGGCGGAAATGTAAATCTATGTAGAATGTTCTCTTTACTTTGTAGTGACTCTGACATGGATTGCCATAGCAACACATATAAGGGCTTGTTGGAAAGGTGTGGTTCTACTAAATCCAGCAATAATATTTGTGTTAAGGTAGCTTACATACTCATGGAGTTATGTCACTAAACGTATAAGGTGTCCCAAATGGGGAAAATATGAAATAGTCCTAATTAAATCTATAGTTACCAATTAGTTTTATTTTGACTTCACTTATCAGGGGTGGAAAATATTAACAAATTATCTTGAGTGAATGACAACTTGAGAATTGTTATTTTTTTAAGTAAAATATTGCAACTTCAACATTAGTGCAGAGAAAATGCAGGCCTAAAATGCAATAGAACTACTAACGAAGTAGTAGTTGGACATCAGCTCGTCGCGGGCGATGTTGGTGGTCACAAACTGATCCACTAACAACTGCAACACCTTGATTTTACTCTCAAGAGGACCATAAGGATACTCATCCACTTCCTGATAGGGCAGAACGTGATGGTACTCCCGGTTGCTCTCGCAGTACACGCGCCGCGACAGAGCGTGCTAGAATGTGGCAAATAGTGAAAAAAATGATAGTATCGTGGAATAACAGTAAAATGAAAAATAAAATTACACTTATACATCCTGAAAACCACGGCAGTCAATACCCCTCTTCATCCCCGAGCTCTTATGACTTTAGACATAACAAAGTAGGCAAAAAAAAGATGAATTATAAAAAAAATATATCGATTAAAAAGTATAGTCAGTTAGCTGTGCAGTGGTGTGCGCCGTATGGACGTAACGGTTACTTCAACCGAAACTAGGACACATCAACACTGGGAGCGACAAGAGTTATATCCTTATAGAGACACTAAATTTGTGTGCACCCTCCACGTCACTTGCAGTCTCCCAACCGCCTTCTCGTGTAGTTACGACCGACAATCTCTACTAAAACACAAAATGGTGACTAGCGCCAAACGAACACGCTATGCACGGAAGACGCGTTTTCGATTAACAGCCGTTAACGGTTTCAACGTAAAAGGGACAACCGATTTATAGGCAGCTCACAAACGGTTTGTAAAATAAAGGCTGATTAGGCCAATAAGGACAATCAGGCCTCCTACAAAACGTAGGGCGTGATTAAGGTGTTGCGTTAAACGCTAGTGGGAGTTGCTAAATCGGATATACGGAGACTAGTTAAGGTGTCAGAAGTAACAGAGGTTTTTGTAAGAGCAGAGAGGTCCCGGTAAAAGGTCTAAGAAACACTTTCCAAGAATGACTAATCCTCAGGAGAGCTCCTGAAAATTCGAGAGGGGTCTGAATCCACGGATGACAATCCGAAATTGTTATGCAAACACTTACACGAGAATCACTTGAATGTTAATCCTCAGAATGTACATTCTGAACTTTTGCGGGTAAGTACGAATCCTTCAAAGAGGATTTAGAGCTGGTCAATTCGATGAAAATCGGATTTAGGAAACATTGATGGCCGGGTCCAGAGACGAAGCGACGAAACCTCTGACGACACAAATACACATCATAGAGTCCAAACCCTTCAGCCGCGCCAAGACCAGCGTAAACCTCCAAACTATATAGCGATTGGTCTTTACTTATTATATTCAACAATAGTTATACGTAATTTATAGTTAGTCTTGTTGATTTGGAGTGGTTCATAGTATACTCTGTGCCCTGATTACATCCTAGCCCACTTGACCGACTCAAACCTCGTCCTCCGCTTCCCCACCTCTTCCCAGCGGCCTGTGACCTTCTGTCTATAGCCTTATTCCCTCTCGTATATATACGTCATAAGTGACCAAGTTCTAATCGAACACAACCTCCCTACACTATCCGAGAGACTCCTCAGCCGCGTCGATAGTAAATCACTTACGTTCACCCTCTCGCCCTAACGGAGATACACGGTATTGCTCCTATCCAAGAAGGACACTCGAACGCGACTCGAAGTAAACGAACGAAGGCAGGTCTCATAGGAGGTAAGACTAGTTTCAATAGCTACCGACGTAGTTGTTAAAGTACAAGTCAACTGAGGTCACTGCCGGTCAACCCTACATCTGTGTGAGAGACAGGAACTTATTAGACCCAGACGACGGTGGTCTACCACTCCTTGACAGCTTGGAGTACATATTCTTGTGGTCACGGGGTAACGTGACTCGAGTAACTAACTCATTAATGACGGGTTAACTACTTACTGTAGTTTTTACCGTTCAGGGGTACACTAACCGTATACTACCACAGCGCCGTGACACGTTACTTCTAGTACCGTCTATACGTTACTGTTTCGTCTAACAGGATAGTTTCTGACCAAGGAGTAGTGTCCAGATCGTTAAAGACACTCGTAAACCTTAGTGTGTGTGGTCAAGTGTTCGTATCTTGTAACAAACCCATGTATCAAGACGTTACATCTGCCACCTATTCAGCTAGTGACGACTGTATACTAAATACCAGGGGGGTACCAGTTTGGGACGAGGTACGAGAAAGAGTATACAGACGTCGGAGGTACATCATATAACGGACAGTCTCTCTTGGAACTTGAAACGACAACACAGGAGTGTCAGGACGGACACTCTTGACAACAGAGAAGTATCGAACAGAAGCTCAGATATGTCGAGAGTACCGTTAGGGTACCCATGTGTGACCGTGAAAAGTCTCGTATGTTTAGTCTGAAAGGTCGAGCAAGATGTTTATGGGCTCGGACACGAACAATACGTTATTCTCGAAAAGGAAGTCAAAGGTCCTCGACTATAAATCACACCAACCTGGCAGGAGTAGACAGAAGGCGTCTCTGGGAGTCACAGAAGTCATTACGTAGTTTGATGGGTGACGGACGGATCCTCCAACTCCCCGCGAGGCTAGTGAGAAGGTAAAGAAAACTCGTTGTCGAAAACAGTTGACTCGACAGTCACTCGAATACTTATTTTCGGAAACAGTACTCTATGAACTAGACGACAAGACTAAGAAAACAAGAACCAGACCGTCGACGATAATAAATTCGATACAGTGCCGAACCGAGAGTCGTTTAGTGTACCCTGGGATGCTACTATTCTTTCTTCTCAAATACAGTCAAGGAGTATTATCGTCTGAGACTGACATCGTTTGTAAAAAGATCAAATTACGTCCTCACTAATCACCAAGGCCTGACAGAGTAGAATGAAAGGCGTCCCGTCTCTCTACTATGTAGACACGGTTCCTAGGAATCTCTCCGCGGTCATAAGTATAAAACTCGAGTTGTCACTCTCTCAAGTAGAACTATGTTAATCCAGCTATCTATTCCATGTGGTCGCTGTCATGTCTATGATAAGGTCAGTAACCGTCCACTTTGTCAAGTGTAATCAAACTCTCTCTCTCTCACAAATTCCGTCGAAGATACTATAAACCGTAGTATACGTTTCCTCTATGCCTATACTCTCGTCGGCTTCTACATGTCTGAAGTAGTTCGGAAAGACTACGACGTACTTCCTGGAACAGAGCCCATGAGAATGGACATGGTCAGTATTACCGACAGTTCTCCAAGACCAGAACTAGACCGGGAGGGTGTTTACTTTGTTAGAGAAGCATACAGTTTGCTATTACATAGTTGGGATGAGTCAGAAGAACTTCTCTGACTACGTCCATACGAGAGTGAAAGTGTGTAAACGTTGAACAACGATGGTGACTATAACCAGAATGACCTCATCAAACGAGATGTGTACTAGCTACTATACTATGGAAATAAAATTTGCTTTCATATAGTAGACATATACCTCCTCTCTCAAAATACTTGTAGTAGTAGAGAGACAACTCGTTGTAAATCATATGCAACCTCCGGAAGACGACATCCTAAAAACTGTATACCTAGAACAAAGAAGGGAAAAAGTTTTACAAATGGTGTCTACTATGTTGCTAAACCTAGGTGACAAACATTGTAGTGAGAGGTAAGACCATTTTAACTTTTTTTTCTTTTTTCTATGTGAAGTCTTAAACATGTCAATAGATACAACATGAATTTGACAAAAACAATCCGAGATAAATGTCATAACAATGGTCACTATGATTAATTCGGTCCTCTGTGTCTCAGATAACACTTATATCCGATGACCTGTCCGACAATGTAATTACTTTGTAATTCGATCCAGTGAAAGGTCAATCGATTAATCGGTAAAATAAACTGTTCCAGGGTAGAAAAGTGTCAGGTTTTTATAAACGTTACTAAATGGACAGTCAAACACTTCTTTGGGTGCATCCGTTACTCTACGTCTATTTCGTCCACCTCAGTTTATGACATCATATTGAAGAACTAAGAGATGTCTCGACTTACTGAACGACAATACTCCTCGTATTCGAACTCAACGACCCGGCAGCTATTTGTTACACTCGTCTCTGTGTATAACGGGAGACTTCCAGTAGGATGCACTTCTTCTGTGGAGGTTGTGGTGCAAACGGGGGCGGCTGGAGTTTCTGTCGCAGTTGAGGTGAGACATAAAATAGCTGCCGTACTGCACCGGCCTCC